TTTATTTTTTTCATGCAGGTTTACCGTTAACATCTAAGAAGTGCTTTCAAAAACAGCTAAAGATAATTTATCCTCACAAGAAATATGAAGTGCTCTTCATTTATTAAGAAAGGGTTAGGGGTAGTAAAAACAAAGGGGAACGTTGACATCTGCTTGGGGCAAGGAATGAGTTTCAAGCTAATCTGTCAAAGGCATCTTTTTTCTAACTTCCTCCATCTTTATCGCCCTTTGTCTTCTCACAGGCCTTCGATGCATTCATCTACATCTTCTTCGCACTGGAGATGGTGGTGAAGATGGTGGCTCTTGGGATCTTTGGCCGTCGCTGTTACTTGGGAGACACCTGGAACAGGCTGGACTTCTTCATCGTCATGTCTGGGTAAGCAGCTATATCATAATGCTAGAGTTAACCAGGAGGTATGTCATATTGTTCGGGGCAGATCAGGTTGGCAAAAAAAACTCTAGCAGCATATGCTCTTGAAATCCAGACGTAATAGTTAAATGATTTGCTGGCGGCAAGACTTTTTTCCTGCTCTGATTGTGGCGCTGTCATATTTACTTCAGCTCAGTCTCGACTACATATTCTAACTGTTTGTTGTGGGTTTTTTCTAAGCTCTTCATTAAAATCAGAGGGGAGATTAATAAAGCCGTCAAGTGCTGTTAGGTGCAGTGAGATTTTGAGTCACCCCAGACATGTTGACATTTTCTTCTTTGCGAGTCTGTGTAGCGCTGATGATGCAAGATGACAGGTCACCAACACTGTCTAATGAAGGAGTGGCCTGTCACCTCAAGAGACTTCCGTTTACAACTCCTGCTTTTTATGTCAGTGTTAACACTAAAAGTACCAGAAGGAAAACACTGCACGATGTGAAACAAAGCATTGTCATTATTCATTTGTTATCCTCATACAAGGCAAGTTCAGCTTTTATCTTCGTATTAATAATCATACAAGAAACCATTTTAATAATTTGTAGTATTAATGAATGAGTTTGAAAATGAATGAATTGATTCTTAGAGATTTGATTACATTTAATGAAAAAATTCTAAATCTTAACGACATAAACCAGGTTATATCGATCTGTCGCATTCATGCAAAACAAATATTTAAACCGTAAAATGAATTTCATCACACATTTTCCCTTTCAAATAAATACTTGAAGGCATTTCAGGCACACTCGTTTTGTAAGCAACATTGTGACAGTAGACGGGGCATGTGTGGGTAGCCCTCTGAGAATTCAACCATATGGCAACCTCTTGTACCCTGCCACAGACACTACAGCATGACAGAAACATGGCTGCAATAAGACACAGTATAGGCTGTTCACTAGAGTAAAGATGAGAAAGTGCTGTCATTTTTTGAATCATTGCCCATTAATTAACACCGGAATATAGTGTACTACTTAAGTCCTGTGAGTAGCTGCAATAAAAATGGTTCTCGTTGAAGAGGGAAATAAATGAAGGAATGAAAGACTGGAAGGAAACTGGGAATTCAAAAATTCGGTTTAGAGAGACACCCACTGCAGAGAGATCCATATCACCTGCCCACAACACAAATCTATCCTCAAATATTGTGTAAGTTATTGCGTAAGTTTTGCCTGCTCTTAAAAAGTGTACTTCGAAAAGGCTTTCTCTTATAGCGGTTACACACACACACACACACACACACACACACACACACACACACACACACACACACACACACACACACACACACACACGCATGCTAGATGGATGTGCACGAAACAAAAGCAAACACACCTGTTCAAACACCTGCTCTGAACCGAGTGAAATCAGAGGCTCAGACATGGGCAATAAAGTGTGTGTGTGTGTGTGTGTGTGTGTGTGTGTGTGTGTGTGTGTGTGTGTGTGTGTGTGTGTGTGTGTGTGTGTGTGTGTGTGTGTGTGTGTGTGTGTGCCACATAATTACACACGGACATTAGATACTGATCTTATGCATTTAGAGTTTGTTTTATCTGTGTATGCGCTCATCTGTGTTTGTGGCTTGTGCGAACGCCTCTGTCTTCATTTCACTCTTGGCAGCATCCATTAGATTAGCGTCTAGGCTAATTGCAGAGGGCAGTGCCAAAGTTGCCAGGCCAAATCAGAGACGACAGTCTGCTACGAGCTCCATGTCTGTTACCCATGGGCACACCTCGCTCTCTGGCCCTCCTCCCCCCCTCCTCTCTTTCCTTGTTCACATGCTTGGATGACCATATTCCCTTGTCTTGTGCCCTACAGACCCCATACTGACCAGGCTTTCGTCCAGACAGGCTTCATGCTTCAGCTTCACAGTGTATTTTCTATATGTTATTTAGTAACATTACACTGCACTGGGACTACGTTTTCCCAGCCTGCCTAGTATAATCTAAATATCGCAGCATGTGTCCACTGAGATTCTTGATCCATGAATAAGATTGACCCTTTTTACATAAAGTCAGACTTGCCTTCCATATTTGTTCTCATATAAGCCACATTCAAAATATTTACAATAAAATACTTTGTCACACTGAGCAAGACTGACTGATGTTTGTATATTTCCATCTCATTAAGGAGCTGACCTTGACTCAGTGGAATCATTCTTCTCATATATATCAATATGCAAAGAAAAACAACCAGATTACATTGTGTGGATCTGCCCTTCTTGCCTTCAGTGGCTTGGCTGTAATGCTTGATTAAAAGACAAAAACAAGTCTGCACTGAAGCTGTAGTTTGCGAATATCATTACTTTCATCGGTTGTCCTTGCCGTTGCGGATATTTTATTAAGTTGTCAAGTGCAATAATTCTCTTTTTTTATGTAAATCCCTCAGATAAAATACTTTTATTAACTTCAATGCTTCCACTGAGGATCTTCATGAAGACATGTTGTTCATTTGACAGTGAAGTCACATTTTTACAATTGAAATATGTTTTTTATTTTCCTTGTCTCTCACTTTAAATGTGCTTCTGAATACTTATCATACGGTCTACCCTGGGTTTCCCCTGAAGCTCTGCATTTCATATCGATATCGACACACACACAAACACCAGTCACATGAAAGCATGAATGAGATGAAGGTGTCACAAGCAAAAAAGGAATGGGAAAAATAGAGAACAATCATAAAAAGGACGCTTCCGGCGGTCCACTAATTACCCTCCCAAACACAGCGGCCTGTTTGATGGATACAGCAAGGCACGCTTCTATAGAGCACACACACACACACACACACACACACACACACACCACACACACGCACACACACACACACACACACACACACACACACGTACACACACACACACACACACACACACACACAC